GCTGATCTTCCCCTTCGTCGCCAATATTTACCCTACTCAAAAGATCTTGTGCTCGAGCATGCCCAGGCTTTTTGATCCTCATTATCTCATCGTTTAGGTTCCTTGCAAGCACTTCATTTTCTAAACAATCCACCTTGTTAACTTCTCGGCCAATATTCTGTTCCAACTCGAACACTGCCAATTTTGTTTCCCAATGTCTTTAATGATGCTTCTTCTTTCGTCTTCTCTTGATATTCTTTATTGAAAGCCATTAACTTGGCTTTGAAGGCCTAAATGTATGCCATATGTTCTTGTTGCTAATAACTCATTAAGTTTCCTTGATTATCTTTTTCCTAATCGTTGGCTCTTCAGGGCCACTATGTTTGGTCTCATTTGATTGAACATTTCAGTAAGTATGTCCAGTGAGAGTGGCTTTTCACTCTGTACGATAATCTGAGTTTCTTCTCCATCTTGAACCACCTTGACAGGTCCATAATTTCCTTCGTACATGAATCTTTCTACTGAATTTGCTTCTGCGACGAAGGGTTTATGGTTTGCCTGCACCACTTATGCCTTGCCCTTATCATTCCAGAAAACCAAGCATTGGTGGAGCAATGAAGGTATGCAACAACTCCTATGGATTCAGTCATTTCCTAGTAGTACATTGTAACTAATAGGACCATCTATCACAAAGAAGACTGTGGTCCTAGTAGTTGTTCCTCCGGTTATGTCCAGTGGCATTACCCCTTCAGTTGAAGTTGCTCATCTGTTAAAACTTGTGAAAATAACTTCTGTTGGGATCATATCGCTTTTTGTTTTTGCAAATTTCCTCATCATCCTAGATGGGATGGTATTTATGGCTGCTCCATTATCAATGGGTACTTTCGCCACCGGTATACCATTGACTAAGGCCTTCACATACAATGGCCTTAAATGTTTAATTAGTTTCATGGTTGGTCTCTCAAATATGACCTTTTCAGCAGCATCTATTTCCACTTCCTGTTTGTCTTCTGTTGAATCATCTCTTTGTGATAAGTTAACATGCAATATTTCACACTGAGTTTTTTGCTTCTTGGATTTCATTTTTACTTTCCTCTAGTACTTCTTCTTCTATTACCCATCATGTAGGGAGAGGCAATATTCTTGGAGGTGACCCATACTTCTCAGAGCGAGACACTCTCTTCTTTCTTTTGGGTATCCCGTACAACACATAGTAATCAAAGAAATGCCCAGATGGTTCTCCCAACAGATCTGCCTTGCGAACACCTTCCTGATGTAGCTGTTTGAACAAAGTATTGCGTGACACTCCCCTCTTTCTTCTCTCTGCTTCCAAGTCAATTTCCTCTTCGATGTTCGTCATACCATCATCCCCTTTTTATCATATACCCCTCGAGATGTTTGTCCTTCTTCACATTCCAGCACACTTGTTTCTTCCTCGTTATCCTCATTTTCCTCATCTTCATTCTCTTTGTTTTTGAATTCATTAGCTAGTAAATAATTATTAGCCATAACAGGAGGTAATGTACCGAACTGAATAATGAGGGGTTGTTCTGGATCTTCCTCATCTTTCTTTCCTCGCTCAAACTTTAATCTCCCGGAAGAACTTTCGGGTAACTCTTCCATTGATTCGCCTATGCCGGTCTCTTTACTATCTTCAAGAACATTTTGGTTGGCCACTTCGAGTAATTTAGGCTCTTTAGGACGTGGCAATCCCTGTTGTTGCCTTATCATTCATCCATAATTCCGTTGAAAACACCTTTGTTGAGTTCTGGTCATCTCATTGAAAGGTATCACCCTTTCTACATTATACTGGAATAAATGCAATACATTTGGTTGGCGAGGTTGTGGCCTGAATGTCCTCCCATTGTTTATCGGCCTGAAGTGCCTCTCAAAAGACAGTCTTCTATAGAATGATGTACCCCGTCCTCCTCCAGGGTGCAATATCTTTTGCGACATAGCTGATCGAAAATACGATTTATCTACTTCAATTTTGAAAAACTCATTTTCGGAAAAGTCACTTAAACTGGAACAGTATTTTATAAGTAATATACACATTTGGAAAAAAGATTCAACTCTGATGATGTAAAAATTTTCCTTTTGTACATTTTCTTTTCTTCTTGAGAAAAAAATTTCCCTTACACGCTTAATTCTTGATTGATTTAAACCTTCTAGTCAGAAAGTTCATCATATTTTAAAGCGTTTTCAAGATTGAAAAAATAAATATTTGAAAATATCTTAAATTCTTAATCCCATGATTTAATTTCTAGAAATTGAATAAAATCCCAAAAAATTCATACATTTCAAATTGGCGAAATTTAATTCGAAGTAAAAAATGACTCGATCAACCATGTTTTTCACGAAATGTGAGTTTTGCTTCCATTTCATTTACAATCTTTGGCAGAAATCATAGAATGTAGAAATCGTTTTCCCTATAGTTTTGAGAAAGAAGAAGAAGAAGAAGAAGAAGAAGAAGAAGAAGAAGAAGAAGAAGAAGAAGAAGAAGAAGAAGAAGAAGAAAGAAAGAAAGAAGACCTTTTAATTGACCCTTGGCAACATGAAAATGCACCTACACTTTAAAATCTCTTACTAACTGAATTAACTGCAAATAAACCCACAAAAAATCGAAAACTGAAGTAAAAACTCGCCTTATAATCCTCACTAATTAAGTAAAAATATATGTAAGTAAAATATATTTTATATTTTTACTTATTATTTATTTATTGATTTGTTTAAATTAGAATGATTTTTAAATGTCAAAACATGTGTCAAAAATATGTTCAACTCATACAGTCCTAACAAGACAAGTCAGTCAGTTAGGATTGATTGGGTACTACAGGTGAATAGATTCTTGGCTATGTTTTTTTAGCGTTTCCAAACCTTAAATGAGGTACAATATTTACCTACTTTATAGCAGCATATAGAAGAACATATGCTCACAATCTCGGACATGTTTGATTGGTCAAATGATTAAAAGAAGGAAATATTATTTTATCAAATCAAAATTTCCTTAATTTAATTATTGACCATATCAAACATATTCTATATATATACATAAATATATATATTTACCTTATTGGACTAGTTTGATTGGTCAAATAATTAAAAGAAAGAAATAATGTTTTAACGAATTAAATTTTTTTTTAATTTAATTATTGACCATATCAAACATGTTAGTGCAAAACTTTCATATTTTAGGTAAGATATGTTCGTGCCATGGAGGAGTCTCTACATAAGTATAGAAAATTATTAAGGGACGTTTGATTACTTTGAGAAAAATTTACCTATGTCCTACGAACTTGTAATAGTAAGTTTTGAAGTCTTTTGATCATCGCTAGTGAATTCTAATCGATTGATATTTCATTGAAATATTGCAAAACAAAAATCGTGTTCTTCAACTGTAATTGAAGATAAAACACTTGGGCGTGAATAATATAATCATACTCAAATATCAAATTATTTGGTGTGAGTTAAGATTAATGAAACTTAATCCAAGTAGTGGTTGTGGCCAAATACAATAGTGAACTGACGATAAAGGCCAAATTGGAGGGTTTAATTCCACTTCCCTAACAAGTCAAAAGAAGAAAGAAGTCGATGGGAGTTGTTGTTTACTTGCATTTGATTGTTTTTGTTAATTTTGTGAAACTATTATATTTTTTATTCTTTGATAGTGAATTATTTTATCTGTGGCATGGGGTCCGTGAATGTTTTTCTTAAGGGTTTATCGCGTTATATCTGGTGTTCATTTTTATTTAATTTCGCAACAGATTACATTTTGTAGAACACAAATCTGTTAAACTGTCTCAGTCAAAACTGTTGCGTAAAACTGTCTCAATCAAAACTTGTATCGGCCTATCGCATCACTTACATCTCATCTTTCTTTTTCCGATTTTATTCTAATTTAGTATTTTGATTTCGGAAAGTAACTAATATTCTTTTGATTTCATGCAAGAATTGAATTAAAGAATGACACGCGATCAAGATTAGAAAGTGATGAATCCANATTAAAGAATGACACGCGTTCAAGCTAAAAAAATGATGAATTCATATTCATATATTCGAAGTCGAAAATTCACTAATTTGTCTTCTCAAATTAGATTTCAGTAAGTCGAATAATATTTTTATTTCAAGCATATTAACGGCATGTTCTTGATGAATATAATATACACATTATCGATGTAATATCTCCTAAAATAAGGTTATACTTATTTTTAAAAATGAATTTTCAAAAGTATTAGAAAATTGAAAACAGCAACCGAACGCACAAATCTGAAATTTTGATCATGAATAGAAGTCAAAATAAATAGAAAAAAATGGGGAAGAACAAGCAACTTTTGATTTTGATTGTGAGGCTTGGTTGGTTGGTTAAATATTATCGATAGTTAGGTTGGATTTTGTTTTGATGTTTTCACTCTCAATTTTTTCTTAATAAAACTATTCACTATTTAAAAAGGGGGAAAATAAAATAAAAAATTTAAGGCTTTTGCATAAGTACGGGCCTTATGCAACGGTCAGGTGGCTTCATGAGAAAGCTGACTCTGCCAATCCAGTTTGATCGATAGGCTTAGGAACTTACTATAGCAACATAAAAATCAAAATTTCGTGCAGATTTAGCGTCTGTTTGAACCTCATTTCTTGTCCAAAATACATTTTAGACTAGTATTTTAATGGCAAATGGTTAGTTAAGAAATAAGAAAGATCTTGAATTTACGTGTAATATTATTTTATAGAAAAATTTGTGATTAAAAATAAAAGAGAAAAAATGTATTTTGAAAATAATGAAAACCAAACAAAGGCTTTAAACGAGTTGCATGCATGAAGATAGAGGATGAAACGGGTCTCTTTAATTCTCGCTCCTCTCTCTCCAAATTTAGCTATTTTCTCGCACTAAATCTCTCATTTGAGAGATATCGAGATATTTACAAAATCTTAAACCAAAATAGTCTCTCTAGAAAACCATTTCAAAACCCTAATAATTAACAAACAATCTATTCCTCCAAATCGAGAAGGAGTGGAAGCCACAAATGCCGGAAAATCAACTTAAGGATAATGGCTTCTCGCCATCAACGGCTGGAAACAAGACTCTTCATCTTCCTCGAGCAGAAATCAATCCTTATTACCCTAGGTTTGATATTTATTCGAATCTTAATGCTCAAGAAAACCCTAGTTTTCCAGATGATTTTCCACTGGAATCTGAGTTCAGTCGGCTTAATCTATCAGCGCCCTGTAATCCATTTCCTTCTACGGAACTATTGTCTTATGGCGGCTCTATCCTAGAAAAGAATTCACTAGTTGATTTGCCGATGGCCCTGGGGTTTGCACCGGCTCCCTATGAGAAACCACAGTTTCCTATTGGCGATTTCCAGGGGATGAGCATTCAATCCGCTGTGAAGGGACAGATGGGCTTGTATGCGCAACCGCGAAATTACTCATTGGGAGACGAGGGTTTGGATGCAATTTCTGGTCTGAATTCGAGGGCAATTTTTGAATATGATTTGTACAATGGTGGGTTAAATTTGAACGGAGAAACAATTAGGTACCCTACTACACGGCTTCCGTCACATTTGCCTTATGAAATGAGATATGGAAGTCAGCCTAATATGAATAGAAATGGTTTCAAGCTTGATACCAGTAAGTTTCAGGATAGAGGAGCATCCATGTGGGGGATTGAAGCTAACAATTCAGGGATTTTGCTGTCTCCATTTCGCTCAAATTTCCCCTCTTCGGAAAATATGAGGGGCAAACTTTTCATGGAGGCCAAGGATCAATATGGTTGCCGTTTCTTGCAGAAGAAGATTGAGGGTGGAAATCCTGAAGAAATACAGTTTATTTTCTCTGAGTTGAAGGATTATGTGCGTGAATTGATGGTGGATCAGTTTGGGAATTATCTTATGCAGAAGTTTTTTGAGATCTGCAATGAACAACAGATGAATCAGCTACTTTTAATTGTAACCAGTGATGACCGCTCTCTCCTTGATGTATGTCTCGATATGCACGGGTATGATTGCAGATTTCTTTCTCAAATACAAGCCATGTTTGATATTCAGCACTAGACGTGATTGTGCAAGATACTTGTGGAAGCGAATATAGGCTCTGATCGAGAACATAAAAAGTTTATGCATTTTTTTCTCAATTTTTTATTGAATAATTTCTCTTAGCTTCCTACTTTATTCATATCCACTTGAACAAAACCTAAGACTCTTGGTAAATTCTATATATGTGTGTAGGGAGTTCTGTGTTTAATACATGCATACTTGAATATTCTTTCTCATACATTTATACAAAATCTATTAGTACAATTGAAGGATTCATATTTCTTGTTCAAGATTCAATAGTAGGCAAAGTTCTAAAATTCTACTTCAAGTTCAATGTTCGCAATGCTAGATCAATTTTCAACACATGACAGATAAGATTTTAGGTTCATTTTTCTTTCTCTTGCAGAACTAGGGCTATGCAAAAATTGCTTGAGCATCTCACAACCTCACAGCAAAGGAACCTGGTCGTATCAGTTTTAAGACGCATCACTATTACATTGACGAAAAGCGTGAATGGTCATCATGTCATTCAGCATTGCTTGAATTTTTTCTCCACTGAAGATAATGAGGTATGACTCAATTGCCTTAGCATCATAGAATATATTATTTGTGGTAGCTTAAGGTTTTATTTGAAAGGCAAGCAAAAATTATTGGAGTCAGATTACATAAATTCATTTTCATAATTCCTTCTGGTTAGTAGTAAAACTACAGGCAAATCTAAAGCAACTAGATCCGTTTGATTGCAAGAGTGGAATTTGGGTGGAAAGAAAATGAATTCCAAAGAATTGAATTGCCTAAAATTGTTTTTCTAGAAATTGTCAATTAATCGTGTTTGATTGGTATAATTTTCACTTGGAAAATGTTGAAATTTTGGATTTTTTGGTGTTCGTTTGACTTTATTTTTTATGGAAATTGTCCATCAAAGGGAAATTTCTTTTACAATTGTGAATTGTCCATAGAATTTGTTCATTGTCAAACAAAAAAAAAAGAAAAGTAACCTGGAAAACCATTTCTGGTAAGTGTGTGAGCCAAACCAAGAAAATGATCTCCATGGCAAATTTTGATTATCAAACAACACTTTTTGGGGAAGATAGAATTTTATTTCTAATTTCCATGGAAAATCCTCCAAATCAAACATGCCCAGATTTCAGCTACTAGCACACTGTAACTTTTTATCTACCTCTCTTCTTTTGACATGTTATACAGAAATAACGTTTGTCTTATGTTTAGTAGTCTTGTAGAGTTACCCAAAACATATCTTAAATTTTTTTCGTGTATTGCTTCATTTAAGCCAGCTTAAATGTTGTGGTCAACATGTAACCAATGTTGACAAAGATTAACAAATTCCTCTCACATATGGAGGATTTTTCTTTCCTAAACTTACTGAATTTATGCTTAAAACAAGAGCAAGAAGAGAAATGACTATTTGAAATAGTGAATTTAGATTTGCATATATTTTTTCCCCAACTATGCCTATTTATAAATTTCTGATGAGGCCGTGGAGATAATAAAGCCCTTTCTTTCAGAGACACGTGACAATTTTTTACAATTGAACATGTGATTGATTACTTTCTAAAGTTTCCTTATCCATTTGTTGTGAAGTCATGTTTCACACATTTATCATTATTATTCACATGTGCTTCAATAAAGTTTTTCGCTGATGTAGCTTAGCTGGTGGAATTGCTCTATTTGCTTGCTTGGCAGTTTTGCATTAGCACACTTTGTGTGCTCGTTTGTTTATGTTTGAGGTTGAGTATAAATGCTAGCTGATGTTAGCTTGAGTTTGCACGCAATTTGATGATTTTTAGCTTGAAAAGTGGTCATTGATATTGGCATAGGTTCGCATGGAGCGAGCTTATGATACCGTCGCAAATAACAATCAAAATTCCCGCCACTAATATCAGTAAAATTAATTGACAACAATTGCTACATAACAACTATTGGAATTTTGTTCTTAATGGACATTTCGTATAAACTACTTTACACATTTTTTGCTTTAAAAATCCAGTTTCCCTTTGGATGGATAGTTGAAGGCATGCATGATATCAGTTAAGAAATTCAGATTTCTACCAGTTTTACTCGAAGGAACTTCATTTACTCTTGAAATGTGCCAGTATAATCATAAATAAACATCGAGTTAGCCAATTACATGATGAAACTATTTAGTATGTCCACACCCCTGTTTGAGCTCCATGTTTTCAAATTATAATGAGGGGAATAGTAATTTTTTTGGAGAATGTGTAGTTAAAAAATAAGAAAATTTTTTAAGTTTACGTGTAATATTATTTTGTAGTTGATAAGAAGAGAGAGAAAAATAAATTTTAATTTAATGGGGCCAAACAGGAGCTACCTATCATATAGAATTAACTGCTATTTATTCAAATGTTATAAGCAAATGTCTGTACACCTACAATGCAAACAGACTCATAGATTTCTTTTGGATTGGTAATTTGTACAAATTAATGTTAGATGTTGTTTCAAGTTCCTACCGAATGGAGTGACAAATGTAGTCTACCCCAAAATTTATTGGGAGAACTCTGCAAGCCATAGGTTATGCATTTCGTAACATTAGATAGAACTAGATAATGAAGAAGATTTTTAGATTGTTTTTCTTTATCAGTAGTCCAATACTCCTTACTAAACATGCTATAAATATTTCTTTGAAGTGTACTTTCTGCGAGACAAAGAGATTCAACATGCAATGTTTACAATGTTATTCCTTATTTCGCAGCATATATTGAATATTGTAGCTGATAACTGTCTTGGGATTGCAACCGACAAAAGTGGATGTTGTGTTCTTCAACAATGTGTAGCACGTGCTAATGGAAAACCATGGGAACGCCTCGTGGGAGAGATAGCTGCAAATGCTTTGGTTTTATCAGAACATCCTTATGGGTATGAATTTACACAGTCGCCCCTAAATTTAATGAGAATAAGTCTTTCTTTAATTGTCAGGAAAATGATTTTTTTAAGTAATTAACTTCTCCAATTTCAGGAATTATGTTGTGCAGTATATATTGTGCCTGAAGATACCTCAGGTTACAGCAAAGACATTGGAGCAACTTGCTGGAGCTTATGCTTCTCTTTCCATGAATAAATATGGAAGCAATGTGGTCGAAAAATGCCTCAAGGAGTCTGAAGAACATCAAGCTTTGAAGATAGTCAATGAGATTATTAGGAGTCCAACTTTCTTGATGGTTCTTCAGGATCCTTATGGGAACTATGTTGCTCAGTCTGCACTGGCAATCTCTAAGGTATAATATTGTCCATATTTATTATGAGGCTGTCAAAAATTTTAAAAATATCGTGTACTTAAGGATTATTAAACGCTTGACATGGAAATCAGATGGTTATTTCTTAAATTTACTTTGCAGGGAGCTACACGTCATGCTATGATTCACCTAATTCATCTGCACTATGAGTTGCTTCACAGCCATCCCCATGGGAAAAGGGTGCTTGCACGAATCCAAGGAAGAAAGCAGCGTGTATGATTATGTAATATTTAGTACAGCGTGCTCACATGCCCATATTTATTTTGTTGTCTCTGTGTGTCTAATAACTACATGTGTTGGTATAATAAGTCAGTTAATTGTTTGTAGCTTTTGTTAGGAAATAACCAAGGATGCTAAGTTATTGATTGCGAAGTAGATTGTCCTAGATCTTATTCTCTGGGATTTTGCTGTTGTTTCTTGTAGGCACTGTTGGATTTATTGCCATGTTTTTTGTTGAGTTATTTATCAATAAAATTTGCTATTGATTGTAAATGTATGAACCGAAATGCTGAATGGAAACCATTGGGTCGACTTCAAAGTTCGACCCACATTTTACCAAACCCCTGGTAGTTGCAGATTGTAAAGCATCCATCAGTATTAAACATCATGCTTCCCATTTCTGGTTTCTTACAATGCGCTACAACAGGCTTCTGCTAGTATACGAACTTGATGTTCAACTATTCTAAGAACTCTTCTAGCTCTCATTTCCACCATGGGATAATTTTCTTTATTTCTTTCTAACCATAAGTACCAAAATGTAAATGAAGGGATGATGGCCTGGGTGGCTATGTTCTCAGCCTGTCCTTTAAGCGTCCAATTCTGAATGGACAAAAACAGATTATTAGGCTGGGAAAACAAACTTCTGACAGCAGGGGAAAGTCTCAATCTTCTTGAAAGTGTCCTCCTTCACCTCTTAAATCACCTATCAGGCTCGAGAGAATCCTAATAGCATTCATATGGGAGACTAATCCAATCAGAAACACGCACATTTAGCTGCTTGGGAGAAACCTTAGCTGGCCAATAGAAGGAGAAGGTTTGTGGATGAGATCATTCGGTGACCTAAGAGCTTTATTTTTTCATGAAAGCTTCGGTGGAAATTTAGAGCACAAAGTTCCCTAAGGTCCTGAGTTTTGAAGGCAAAAATACTGTCTAAACAACCATGCAAAATGACTCTCCCACCTGGAAGAGATTACTACTAGTGAACTGTGGGAATACTCTTATGTGAAAAGTCCAAGAATTCGAGAGAAGAAGTGAATGGGACACAACCAAACTGAAGGCAATACTAATTTTTTGGATTTACATACACTATTATATTGTGTAAATGTGTGGTTAAAAATGAGTATATGAAAAAATCAAATAATCAAATAATGGGCTTAATTTATTCTTTTATATACAGAAAATTTGAAAATTCAAGTAGTGTGGATCGTTCATGCCCAAGCACATTCTCTATACGAACGTCAAATTATAATTGCTTGATTGTTTTGTCTGTTTTTCACAATTAATCATTTATAATTACATAAATCAGTTAACATTTAAAAATTCAGCATATAACATCTCGTTCAAAAAATTGATAATATTTAATTAATGTGTACTTAATTACAAATACATTACATGCATGGTACGCACTCCACTAGTCTTCTCTTTAGAAAAAGATTCGCTTCAAAGATTCACATTTTGGGCTTGAGCTTGAGCTTGAAGTTGGACTTGGTTTTGGGCTTTGGCTTGGACTTGATCTTCGTAGCTGCACTCATTTAGCACGACCAGGCCTGTTCAATACAAAGAAGGGTATCGACAGATTAGGCCCAAAATAACAATGCATTTGTAAGTGCAAACTTCAAAGGTGTTCCTATACCCCGCACCCCACGCTTTCTTTTTTTTTTTAATCATGGTGTTTCTATACTTAATTTAAGAGGAAATTACATCCAACCCTACTTTTAAATTACCATTTTCATAAATCCCCATTCAAGTTTCATATTGCAAAATTCAGGTTTTAATTATTAATTTAAAAATATTTTTTTATTTTTATATCTATTTACAATAAATTAATTTATATATACTCCCCTACCCTATCTACCCCCAACCAAACCCTAAATCAATTGAAGACATCTCCTCTCCTCTCAACCCATTTCTTCTCCTGTCTCTATAATCAAAGTCGCCGCCGCCGCTTCTTCTTCCCTTCCTCTCCCTCACTCGTCTTCACTCTCCTCTCGTCTCTTCTGTCTGGGCTCCATCATCGACCGACGCTGTTGTGCAATGGTTGTGCGATGGCGGTTTCTCAGGCGGCTCCCTTCTCCTCCTCTTTTCCCCTCTTCTCCCTCTCTCTCTCTCTCCCCCCGAAAGAAATGGCTATCCCAGCCGCTTCCTTCGCCGCCAGATCTGAATCGCGGCGGTGGTGATTGGGTTATTTTTGTGCTGTGGTGGTTGGGTTATTTTTGTGCGGTGGTGATCCGGTATGGGACAGTGGTAGGCTACTCGTCATTGTCGAGATCTGCACCACCGTTGAACACTGCTACAATCTTAGGTACGATTCTTAGCCACTGTTGGTGTGGCTGTGGGTTTTGTATTTTTCGATTCCATTTTTTTGGTGGTGTTTGCGTTGTGGTGTGATTTGGGTGGTGATGGTGGTAGCCGTTTGTGGTGCGCTAACGCCCGCAGCAGTGATTTGGGATGGTTTGTACAGGTGGTGGTTGTGGTGTTGTTGAGGTGGTGTTGGAGGCGGTGTTGGTGTGGCTGCGGTGGTTGTGCAGTGATTTGGGATGGGGTTGTGGATGGATTTTGCAGGTGGTAGTGGTGTTGTTATTGAGGTGGTGAGGACGGTGGTGCTGATGCGGCCCTATAGATGACTTGGTGACTAGGATTTTGTTGTTGGTCGTGTGCAATGGTTGTGGCTGTGGGGGCGGTCGTTGCGCCGGTTTGGGTGGGGATGAGATGAGTTGAGGTGGGTGGGTGGGTGTCTGTGACCTATAAATTGTAGCTATGACTCACTGTAACAGAGTTGTGACCAACCAACATTTTGATTTTTTT